TATTCTTGATCTTATGTAAGTTGGGATCTTTGGAAAAAGGTAAAACATGCCCAAGTTTCTTTAAAAACAAGACAAATAAACTTTAAAAAGGTGTTATATTCAATATAATGTTTCTTTGTGACTTGTGAGTGATTCAACATGATAAAGGTGTCCATATACTTGGAGCCTGCCATATACTCCCTCCGTCCGGAAATGTTCTTCACATTTAACTTTTCTTGGTCAAAGTTTGTAAACTTTGACTACGATTTGTGGAAAAAAACACATTGTATTATAATGTAAATTTAATATCAATATATTCATAATGAAACGTAGTTTTCAAATATCAAATTTTTATAAAATATATCTATGTATAAATATAGATATTAATGATCAAAACACAATATTGGAGACCGTAAAAAATCAAATGGGAAGAACATTTTCGGAGGGAAGGATATATACACAAGAGATGTATATGTAAATAAATGATGGCAGTCCACGTACAGGTATAAGTAAGTATTGACCAATTCAATTCTCTTTCTTTCGTCAACCGCAAGCTAAGTAACACTGATGAATATTTCATCCTCGCAAAACAAAACAAAAATCTTCCCTTTTCCATTTGCTCTAAATTGACTAAATATATACTCTCTCTGTTCCTGAAAATATGAGAGATTTTGATTTTTAAAACATTTAAGGAGCATATATTTTGGTGTTGAGTATCTAAAAATATTCTTGAATATAATGGGTAAATACAGTATTTGATGGGTAGATTAGTAGTTAATAGACGTGGTGTGGTAGGTAGATTAATTAAAAATTAGTAGGAGTAAAAATAACTTTTTAATTAATAGACATGAAAAAAGTTTTCTAGGATAGATTAGAAAAAGAGAAAGATTTTCAGAGAGAATGAGAGACTAATTCAAACCTTTTTTCTTCGGTAAGTTTTAATCCTAATACGGTATCGCTACAAACCAAATACCGTACCATACCGCGTACCACGCTCACCCCTAAATTTAACATAAACATGATAGAATGTCAATAAAAGGAATACGCGTTGAATGGTTCCCAATTCCCATAAAAGAGGACCAGAGACATGTTTTTTAATAATACACGACTAATATAGAAATCTAATGCTAGAAATGACTGCTTATTAGGGCAGAAAAATAAGTATATTCTTACTGCTTAAAGAAGCGTTCTTTTTTAATAAAAAAAAATAGTTTTTTATGTGAGAAAGTTTACAAAAATGATATGCATCCAAGATACACTCAAGAAGCACTCTATTATAGTACGGAGGAGTAAAATTTAGTCATTATTTTTTGAGACCATAGCAATTTTGAATGAGAGATGGAGAGAATTAATGTTAGCCAGCATGCAAAAAAAGAAGCCCACCAGTGTACTGTGATATGAGGGGAGCATTAATTGCGTTTAAATGACATTGGAACAAACTTCTGCTTCTTCTTCGTAATTGACCCCTCATAAATACCAGATGAGAGTCCACTCTACTTTTCTAAACTACTCGTATTCCACACATTTCACACCAAGTCGTAGTTTCATTTAATCTGCCGTGGAAGCATGGTTCAAAATTGTCTATAGGAGGTGTAAAAAGATGTTGTTGATGGGTCTTATTGTATAAGTATATTTAGGACATTTAGAGCACGAACAATGACAAGTAAAGATTTAGAATGTCACACGATGACACGACATATTTCAACCAATTGAAACAGGTCCAGTCATAGAGTGGCAAGTGAGTGGAGAGACAAGTCTTACAATGACAAGTCATTACTTTTTTTATTTTTTAAATTTTTTTATGTAATTAACTAATAAAAATTAGTTTTCTCATCTCTTTTAACATACAAATAGTACGTATTTCTATTACTTTCATAGAAAAAACTTTGTTTATATAAAAATAGAAATTGAAACTAAAAATAAAAAATATTTCATATTGGATAATCAAATTAACAAATTAAAAAATCATAATACAAATTAAACAAAATAAATCAAAAACAAGAAAAGGAGATTGGGTAATTACCCCCCTATACACGTTCTTCGTCCCTGTCACTGCTGCATCTATCAGCCGCTGGAAGACTCCTTCGCCGGTCACCATCCTAATTTATTTCAATGCCTTCAAAAGTTAAAAAAAAAAAGAAAAAACAAAAGAATAGATGTTCCATGCCTCGGCAATGACTCGCAAGGAGAGTCAAAAGGCAATTGACACGCGAGGAGAAATAAGTGTGGTGCTGATGTGGCAGTGCGTGGAGGCTATTTGCCTCGCCACTGCCACTGCTCATAGAAAAAAGGATGAGTTGCATTTCTGAACATCCCCTCAAACCCAGCCGGACGGTCACTGAGAGATGGTAAATTGAGTGAAGAGGATCCTCCAAAAATCCCATTCTCTCTAATGTCACGTTATCTTTTTTTTTTTGCATCAGCCTGTAAAGTTATTGTTTTTTCGTCCCGTCTTTCCATTTATTTTGCACTATTCAACATTTTTATTTAAAATTTATTTAAATTTATTAAACACGCAACGACAACATAAATAATGGAACACCTTATTGTATTAAAATAAAAACAAAATACATATAATTAAAATAAAAATTACAAAAAAAAAATTAATATTGAAAAACATTGTTGTGTCTCCATATTTCTTCGATTCATGTGAGGATTCATGCGCATAGTAGCACACCAATGTGTAAATTCTTGTAAATTTGGAGGTGGACATTGAGTTGACGGACCTCGAACGACGGTTTCCCTAGAAGTGCATGCATCCTCATGATCTGCAAACGAGTGATGATGTTGTCTCCATCATCGTCGACGATCATATTATACACTGGAATACATACAAACATGATGCCCGAGATGAACGGCCGACACCACGAGCATGCATGGCCGGCCTCACACTATTGCCCACCGGGTTTGGAGGACTTCGATTACATGCTCCACATCTTTCCGTGGCGATCGACTTTTGTTTCTGCACAAACAATACCATCTCTGGATTTGTCGCACACGTGATGATTTTCATGAACACTGGCCATTGTGGATGGATCCCATCTCCTATATAATATCTCATGTTATATCAGCGAACGTTGGTAGTGAATTACACGACTGGCACATGTCTAGCGCAGCCATCCTATCCTATTTTCTTTAGTATAATATTTGAGACTCATGTCTTCAAGAAGTTGACATGTGTCATCTTACATGACAATTTTTAAATGACATGGCACATGAATAAATTGCATGGCATGCTTTAAATGCTCATTCATCATTTATTAAAATTTATTTATAATAACCTTAAAAATATGATGAGTTTAAAACAATTTATTTTATATTGAAAAAATATGGACTTTTTAATTTATTGAAAATTATGTAAATGAAATAAATGTAATTTTTCTACAAAAAAGTAAATAAATTAATCATAAAAAAAACTAATCATGATTAGCCCAAGTCTTTTTTCATAAAAATGAAAATCATATTAAAAGTCTTTTGAGTAAAATATACGGAGTAGTTTTCTAAAAAATTATTAATTTATTCTTTTGTATGAAAATTTATAAAGCTAAAATGTACTCTGGAGTAGCTCATCTTATGCCACTATTTAAAGATGAGAAATTTATTAAATAAATTTAGTGCATTATGGGTTTTTTTTATATTAGATAATTTTTTATATGAAAATTTTGTGGTTTAATGTATTCAATAACTTTTTTAATAATTAAAATTTCTTTAAATATATAATAGGGAGTATAAAAAATCTATCAAGATTTAAATTTTGTTTGAGATATTATTATATATATTCACATCACGGTATTGATAGTCTTTAAAAGTATTTATTTATGATAGAAACAATGTTTATAAATGATAAGACTTTTTTTTTTAAATGAAAGTTTTTTCATAAAGGTGTAACAATGACAGTATCAATTCCTATTTTAGTCTTAAAAAACATATGACTCCTATTTTGATATTTTCATAGTTACGTTTTGTACTTCTATCTAAGGGGTTCTCCCTTGTTAAAAACTAATACATGAATGTAAAAATAAAAGAAATAAATTTTGGGTGAATTCTATAAAAGGTCTCCAGTTATAGGTTGTTTTACATATTTAGTTCCTATGGATCAAATATCAATAATTTAGTCTGTAGTTATTATATCACTTTCCACGAATGGTCCTTTGATGACGTTTTCGTTAAGAACATGAATAAAATTATATATTAACACTTTTTTCTCACCTCAATTAAACTTTCTCCCACTTCCCATACTCCTTCCCAATTCCGTCTCTAAGCTTGAAGTTCTAAACCCAAAACTGAAATGATCACTCCTCTCTCATTTGTTAATCTTCCTGGTGAAACCCAAAATCAAAACAATTAACCTTTATGGATGAGTTTTAAGAGTTAGTCTCAGAATATTGGAAGGAAAACAATCTTAAAACTCATCCATGAAGGTTGCTGGTTTCGATTTTGGCCACCAGGAAACAAACAATTGAGAGAAGAGTGATGATTTTGGTTTTGGGATCAAAGTTTCAAACTCAGCAACGAGTTTGGGAAAGGAGTGTGAGGGGAAGGATGAAGCTTAATTGAGAAGAGAAAGGAGTGAATTTACAGTTTTATCCACGTTCTTAAAGAAAATGTTAACAAAGAATCATTCGTGGAAAACAATATAATAATTGAGGACTAATTTATTGATATTTGATATATAGTGACTAAATATGTAAAACAAATTATAACTAGGGCTCTTTTGTGGAATGTACTCTAAATTTAGTTTAACTATGTAAATAATAGATGATACAAAAAACATTAAGGATATAGGCAGATTTAATGCTACAACCGGATGTATCTTCCTCTTGTACATCATGACAAATTTGTTATTAAAAAAATATTTAAAAAAATGAACATTTTGTTGTTTTAGAACATTTTGTTAATTCAAATTAAATATTCACACAATATTCCAACGTTTACATATACGTGAAAGAAACATTGGGCTTGACCATACCTAGACCAATGGTCCACGTTGTATTATGGAGTTAGTCCCATAATTTGATAGGCCTCGTGTACAATGGGCCGATATTTAAATACTCCGTAAAATAGTAAATGAATCAAATCATTCATTCCTACAATTCTTGTTTTTTGATTAATTGATTTAAAAAATTTACATGATCCCGTGCAACGCATGGGTGAAACACTAGTTCTCTTAAGTGGGAGAATTTTGAGAGGTAGATTTGTTAGTAGAAATTTCAAGTTCACTACAATTGATTTAATTTTTGATATTATTATTTATGGTAGAGAATGCCAAAATAAGAATAAAACATAAACAACGATGTTTCTTAGAGGGCGTGTTGAGTGTTCAATGATTCAATCAAAAGTTTGTACGATTTTTTAGATTTTAAAAGTGAATAGGTAATCAATTGACATTTTAAAAATCATTCAAAATTTGTAGGTATTCAATTAAAATTTTAAAATATTGTTTAAAAGCTGAGTGTATTCAATTTAAATTTTCAAATATCTATCGAAATCTAATAATACCCCCTCCGTCCCAGAGTATTTGCCCACTTTCATTTTTACACACCATCCAATGCACTTCTTTAATCCATTTTATCTTGTAATTTGTATATTAAAAAATTATAAAAATTATATATTAATAATCTATATGTTAAGACAAATCAAACAAGATCACACATGACTATATTTAGGCTTACACATTGAGAGAATTTGATGAGTCAAAGTGCTTAGATGAACAGTTCCAAAAGTCAAATGTGGACAAAAACTAGGAGACGAAGGGAGTATTTAATAGTCCATAGATCTTAGAAAGACTTTTATTATATGTTGATTTTAGACCTGTGCAAACAAGCTAAGGATTCTAGCTGGATATGGGCCGAGCTTAATATAAATTATTAACCAATTTACATGGGGGCGGGTTTGGCCTAGCCCGAATCTGGGTCGGGCTTAATACAAATTATTAGCCAATTTACATGGGGGTGGGTTTGGGCCAGCCCGGATCTGATGGGCTAAACTCTTTACCCACACCGTACTGTCCATCGGGCCGCCCGACCCAGAAAAAACATCAAGAAATTTTTTTTACACAAAAACATCAAGAAAAACATTGAACTCTTTAGTCAATGCTCATGATAAAATCATCAATCACTACACTTACATAGAAAGCATAATAGAGGTATTGTTGCACAATCATTAAACACATCGTACTGATTCATTAAAAGACTATTGATTTTTGTTTAATAGAAATGAGTAAATTGAGTCGTTATACATGAACTATAGAAAATTTTAAATTTTACATAGGCTAGATAATTAATACTCTGTAATAAAGTAAATGTATTTAATGAACATGGGTAGGCCTGTTGGCTCAGACATGCTAAATGTAATTTTCAGATCTGCTTATATATAATTCAGGTTCGGACCGGCCTGCTCCTGTTGATATTAAAAGTTGCCCGTATTCATTATTTTTATAAGATGAGCTGGGCGGGCCAAACGGGCTAGCCCTTGTTTGCATAGTTCTAGTTGATTTGGATGGATTTCAAAAATAATTTCCTAGTTCAAAATCCTCTATCAAATCTTTGTGATTTTAACTCCCACTTGTGATTTTTTCAGCCGCTCCATTTTTTCGCTACTGAAGGTCGTCTCTATCTCCAAGCTTTCTTCTTATTTGCTCCATATTAAATTTGAACATTTTTTCCCAATCTGTTGATTAGCCACCAATCGCAGGTGGGTAAGGTCTGATTAACCACCAACATAATCTGCCGATAAACTTTAGCTGCCTTTCTTTAAATTATGTATGTAGATATCAGGCTTTATGTGTTCAAGTATTCTGTCATTTATGAATGCACTTGTTCAGGAAACTCCTTGATAGGGCTGAAGTGAGTGAGCATTGGCGCTGAAAAGAGGTTTGGCTGGTTTGAACTTTGAAATTTGGTGTTGTTTTTCTCGTACCCCAAAATTTGTACACCAAATGTATGCACCAACATTCTGATGGTTCACATTGATACAAACTGTTGGTGCGTTAAGAAAAATTTACATTGACACAAAGTGTTGGTGCATTAACAAAAATTAGCATCACACAACCACAAAATATTGGTACATCTTTGCAGTGTACAAAATGGGGTACAAATCTTTGGAGTACAAATAGCTTTATCCTTTTCTCTTTTCATTTCCTTTTGGGCCTTTGATTTAAATAATTTATGCAAATAAGACTTAAACATCGGAGTATCTTTTTCCTTAAATAGGATCAGTCCTATTATTCTCAACTTTGACAATGTAGAGTTCTAAAATGTCATGCCTTTGAAAAATGTGAGTGCTTCGTTAATAGCTGGAAAAATGACAAGCATCCAAAATGACTACAAATGGATATTAAATATGTCTTTCTATTAATATGATTTAATGATGTTTGTTTATAGAATTTATTGGAACGTCTTATAAAACACTTCAAATCATTATAAAAGAATGGTATTTATACAATTTAAGTAGAATAAGACACTATTAAAAAAATTTGATTAATCTTTGAAATAATTAGTCATTATCCAACACTTGTTGCTAATAACCACATTGGTAAAGTCATTCTTATATTCATTCATTGTCATAAAAAAAGTAGTTACAAATTTTGTGGCCCTTTAGAGTAAACAAACCCATTTCATAGGGTTGTTTACTCTAAAGGGTAACTAAAATGACAGGGTAGTGGCTGCATTGATATTATCTTTTTAAAAAATTCATAAACATAACACATTATACGCACCTGTAACAACATATATTATCCCAAGTTTCAAATGAAACTAAGCCGTTCTCATACTGTAGGTAATCGATGACAGGGCTTCACGTTTACTGATCAGATGGGTGTCTAACACAGTTCCTACCATATAGGTTAGGTACGCTAAGTCAACTTTAAATTACGAAATTACGAAATGACAGGGCTTCACTAGGTATTATTATTATTGTAGTTATTATTATTATTATTATTATTTCTATTATTATTATTATTATTATTGTTGTTGTTTTTATTATCAATATATCTATTATTATTATTTCTATTATTATTATTACTATTATTATTAGTATAACTATTATAGTTATTATTGTTATTACTATTCTTACTACTACTATTAGTCTTAATATTATTATTTTATTATTATTATTACTATTATTATTAATGTTTATATTACTATTATTATCATCATAACTATCATTATAACTATTATAATAAAAAATTTTATCTTAATTTTAATCAAATTCATATTAGATCAGATTCAGTCAGATTAGATTAAAACTTCAAAAAATCAAATCAGTTGAGGGGAACGGGACGCAACCTTAGTGCCACAAGAGAGGGAGAGAGATAGAGAAAGAGAGAGAGAGAATTTTGTACGTGTTCATAATTAGAGTATTTTACTACTGACGTTGTCTCTATTTATATTTTGTCTATTTCGATTTATGATATTTGAATGAAATTATATTCAAAAACTTTTATATGAAAGAATTAAAAAATAAAAATAAATCTTAAAATACTACTCCATCCGTTCCATAAAATCTTTCTTTTTTGAAAAAAGATGCACCCTTAAAATGAGTAATTTTTGCGTTATTTTCTAATTTTGCTCTTATTTTATAATATAGTAAGAATGTAGGATGGGTTGTACGATAGATTAGTCAGAATTAGAAAACAACATTGAAATTACTCATTTTAAAGACACGTTTTTCCAAACATGAGGATTTTATAGACGGGAGGAGTACATCAAAAGATCCACAAAACTAGTGGTAACATGACTATTTTATTTTATCAAATTACTACCAAAAAATGAGAAAGGAAAAGAATGAAGTTTAACTCTAATAATAATAAACAAAAATTTAATTTAGGACTGAGGGAGTATTAGTCAATATATCAGATTAACCATTCAGACTTATAGTGTTCTCACGAATAAGAGGGCCAAATTGCGAAGTTGGCCTCGCCCACTTGGCACGGGGGCCGAGGTGGCAAATCCAACAAAGAAATTGGGCCAAGTGGACCAAGATCAAAGAACGCGGCGACAGAGAGCATTTCACATAAACTTGAACAAACTTTTGGACTTTACGCTTGATGTGGCCTCATTTGGAAGTAAGTTAATCTCGTGTTTAGTAAGAGGCATGCTTATTCATTGCCGCAAAAAACTTCGGCTCGATATGATCCCACATCGCATTCTTCGTTCGTTTGAAAACTTTAAGAAATATATAATTGACCAAAAAAATATTTTAATACAAATATATCAACAATAACATATATACGTACAATATATATTTAAAAACATATAAATTTACCATCGATAGGATGCTCGACGTCAACCCAAGCGGGCACCAACAACGATTCTTCCTCCGGTGTCCACTTTTCAATGGACCGTGTCACCTCGGTCATCTGCTTCCCGCCTTTCGGTTTGTGACTCTTCTGGAAGCTACATCGGGTCCTGGAGATTCACGGAGGTTTGTGTATCATACATCGACTGATTACCGGCGTGTGATTGTTAAATTAACATTGCTTCCTCGTTTGGCTCAAGACCAGACGAAGGAACGTTAAAGCCAAAGGAATTCATGTTAAAAATTAAAATAAAAATACTTGGATAATTTTTTTAGAAAGAGACGAGAGAGATTTATATTGTAAAATTTGCACTAAATAGGACTAAAACATAATGACTTTTCCAATATAGGACTTAAACATTTTTATTCCCTCAATAGGACTTAATAATGACCTAGTGGGAGGAATAATGTCCAGTAATGATGGACATTTACATGAATAATGACTACTTGATAATGACCAAAAGTCTTATATTGAGAAATAAAAATGCATGGTCTTATATTGGGAAAGTCATTATGTTTTAGTCCTATTTAGGTAAATTTCTCATTTATATTTGTGATGTATATTGAATTATTAAAAAATAGATTGAATTTATGGAAGGGAAGAAATTCTTTTTTTTTAAATATGAACAACATTATAACCTTGCGAGGAAGGAGGAAGAGAGGTTTTTAAGTTTGACACAGGGAAAATGAAGGTGGCTCAACGGGAGAAAGGGCGATATTTAAAACCAGGGGCCTAAGCTAAGAGTATTACTAGTCCTCTAACCATCCGAATTTAGATGCCTAACAATAGCCCATTAGCCCATACGCAAGGTCTAATTCCTACAGAGTACAGAGTACTTTCCGGACTGACTGACGGCTGATGCAAGGCGAGGCTGTTTTCCCCCTCCACCATTCAATGGTGCACTCAATAAATTCCCCCTCTTCCCGATGCTTTTTCTTTCTTTCTTTTCTGATTAACCCCCTGTAACCCATACAACCGGAGAGCAGAGAAACAGGGGAAGAAGGAAGACACAGAGAGGAGAAAGAAGAAGAAGAAGATGATATCAATCTCCGACCTTTACCACGTCCTCACAGCAGTGGTTCCGCTGTACGTGGCCATGTTCTTGGCCTACTGCTCGGTGAAATGGTGGAAGATCTTCACGCCGGTGCAATGCTCCGGCATCAACCGCTTCGTCGCCCTCTTCGCCGTCCCCCTCTTGTCTTTCCACTTCATCTCCTCCAACAACCCCTACGCCATGAACTACCGCTTCATCGCCGCCGACACTCTCCAGAAGCTCATTGTCCTGGCGGCTCTGTCCGCCTGGACTTGGGCCAGCCGCCGTGGGTCCCTCGACTGGGCCATCACCGTCTTCTCCGTCTCCACCCTCCCCAACACCCTCGTCATGGGTATCCCTCTCCTGAAGGGCATGTACGGCGACTCCTCCGGGACTCTCATGGTCCAGGTCGTCGTCCTCCAGTGCATCATCTGGTACACTCTGCTCCTCTTCTTGTTCGAGTTCAGGGGTGCCCGGATTTTGATCGCCGACCAGTTCCCCGACAATGCCGCCTCCATCGTCTCCTTCCAGGTGGACTCCGACGTCATCTCCTTGGACGGGAAGGAGGCGCTGGAGACCCGGGCGGAGGTCGGGGAAGACGGGAAACTCCACGTCACTGTCCGGAAGTCGAGTGCTTCGAGATCGGAGATTCTCTCCGGCAGGTCCCACTCCCACGGCCAGAACAACTCCGGCCTGTCTTTCACTCCCAGAGTCTCCAACCTCTCCAACGCGGAGATTTACTCTCTGCAGTCCTCCCGGAATCCCACCCCGAGGGGCTCCAGTTTTAACCACGCCGATTTTCACGCTTCAGGGTTCGACGAGGAGAGTGGGTTCGGACGAGCAGGGTTCCATGCCCCCGGGGCTGCCGGAATATTCTCTCCGATGACTGCTCCGGCCGGGGCAAAGAAGAAGATTGACGGTGTTGGCAAGGACCTCCATATGTTCGTTTGGAGCTCCGGCGGTTCGCCGGTGTCCTGTCATCAACTTCCACTTGGCCCACACCCAAAAGGTACACATATATATTCTTGTTCTTGTTTTTCATTAATTAAACTTATTCCTTTATTAGTGTAAGACAAAGAAAAACATAACCTTGTCACCAACAAATTAAGGCAACAATGTTCAATCTTTTGCCATTATACTCATATAGATTACGATGAATTTGGGCAAAACGAAAACGAAAACAAAGGACCTGTGCTGGCCAAGATTGGGTCTAGCGGCTCAACCGCGCAACTAAACACAAACGTTGTTCCTGGGACAGAACCTACGGCCATGCCTCCGGCCACTGTCCTGACCAAGCTCATTCTCATTATGGTTTGGCGAAAACTCATTCGGAACCCGAATTCGTACTCCAGCCTCATCGGCATCACCTGGTCTTTGATTGCTTTCAAGTATGTACAATTCACATGGCCTTGCATACTTTCTCTTTTTGTGTGGCTTAACATAAATGAAACCAACATTTTAACATATGGTTTGCAATGCAATTGGAATTATGTGCAGGTGGAATGTGGAGATGCCTGAAATAGTAGCCGGCTCAATAGCCATTCTGTCAAAGGCTGGTCTTGGAATGGCAATGTTTAGTCTTGGTATAATAAGTTCATAGTTAGAGAAGAAAGAAGAAGAAAATGTTCTTTGGTTTTCATTGTTTAAATTGGTTATTGGTGATAAATATATACATAATATGGACATGGATTATGCAGGGTTATTCATGGCATTGCAGCCGAGAATGATAGCTTGTGGGAAAGCGGTGGCGGGGTTCTCCATGGCGGTGAGGTTCATTGTGGGACCCGCTGTGATGGCTGCTGCTTCGCTTGTCGTTGGCCTCCGCGGCGTCCTCCTCCACATTGCCATTGTTCAGGTGGTACAAAAGAAACACAGATTTATGGAACATAACATAAGCTATGGCTTTGTTTGTTTTATGAAGCAGATTGTGTATAGGATTTGATTATTAATGGTTTGCATTGTTGAATTGGTCTGCTTTTCAGGCATCTCTCCCACAAGGAATTGTCCCCTTTGTCTTTGCCAAGGAGTACAATGTCCATCCTGATATCCTCAGCACTGGGTAATTAATTAATTACTCTGTAATTAATTAAGGCTTTCATTCCCAAATTATAGCTGTATTTTACCTCTTGAGTATTTTTATATTCTTAATTTGAGCTGGGCTTTGATATTAGGAAATTTAATTTGCAGGGTGATATTTGGGATGCTAATTGCTCTACCTATCACACTGGTCTACTACATCTTGTTGGGGCTTTGAAGCTTGGATCGGAGTTTATCAAAAAAAAAACCCTCTAATTAGTGTACTCCGTAGAATTTAGAAAAGACTTTCACCCTTTTGCATGTTTTTAGTTTTTTTTGGCTATCCTATCAAAACAAAAAGAAAAGAGAGAAGATTTTTTGGCTTCAAACAAGTGCTGGCCAGTAGAAGAAGAAGAAGATTGCAAAAAGTAGAGAGGTTGGTAGGTAGGGGACAAACCTTCTAACTAGAGAGAGAGAGAGAGGTGGAAGAATATAATGATCATTGGGCATGCTTGCAGGCCAACACCTAGTGGAAAACTGCATTCTTGTTTTTTTTATTCTCTTTCTTCTGCACATTTTGTTCTTTTGATTGAATGCAAAAACATCATGCTAGGTTTATCTAGAGGTTGTAACCTAAAATGTACCTAAATTGAGTTTAAAGTAATTTGTGTGCACCGGGCGCTGGGTGGTCGCTCTAAGGATCAGATTAAGATTATATTATGACTCACTTCTCTTACAATTCTTATATTAGGTTGGGGTGTGGGGCATCCAGGTGGACGTTCCACCTTTAATGTATCTAAGGGTCTACATTTATAGTTTAATAGCTTACATTGACACAAAATGTCAACGTGATCTAAGTTTTTGCACTTACATTTTGTGTCAATGTAGGTGATCAATCTCACGTTTACATTGACACAAGAATAAGTGTAAATATGTAGAATGTAACCTTTGCGATACAGATAGATTTATTCGAACAAAAATTAAAACTGCACATTTTGTTACAAAGCTACCCTTGATTCCACAAATTAGAATTGTCTATAAATTTATAGAATTACAGATGGTAACCATTTATGAATTTTGTGTGTTTACAAAATATCATTGTCTATTGGTTTACAAATTTTCATCGTGTTAATTGTGGTGAGTTTCAAAAAATGACTCATGGAAATAAGTGATGTTCATTTTTTGTTGAGATGCCACTGTCTTCCTCCTGCTTTTATCAAAAGGGTGTCCATAAAGATGCTTGGAGCACTGAACAAACAGAATATTAATGAATAAATGAAGTAGACCACTTTGTTCTATGGGCAGTGCACTCTTAAAAAGAGTCAGCTGGCATGCTGCACAAAGCATATGTTCTGAAACCATGTTACCCTACTCCCAACATTCACCTTATCTTTGTCTCATTTTTGTTCATAGAGGCATGCATACCATACATTTTGGAAATATGGCCCAAGCATGAAGAGATCACTCTTGTACCCTATTCCCAACATCAATGTATGTCTCTATAAAATACAAACCCCTAGAGTAATATTGAGTAATTTTTAAATGCAATAATTATTTTTATTGTCCTATTTAAATCATTCTTTTACATAATCAGAACAAAGTAAATCTTCAAAGAAAATTTAACATCGTTAGCGCTCAATTTTTTTTGTGAAACATGTTGAAGAAATATTATATCTTATTTCAATTGAGGCATGTACGAGGATATTTATCGTGCTAGACATTATTAATATGGTCAAACTTAACTCTTTTTTTTTTATTTTTACTACTCTTTTCATAAAATACTCAATTTGTCCTAAAGCTAGTTTTTGAGTTACTATTTATTTGGTCAAATATTAATCACTTTCTTCACATATTTTCTTTAGTCATTACATAAAACGGCTAGGTTCTACAGTCACTTAAAAAAAGTGGCTACGGAAGCCACTTATCCAATTGCCATACACCGCTCATACTCTACACCTAAGACTTCAACAACTAAGATTACGAGTTCTTAGCAAACCTAGACAATCAATGAGAAGAAATAATCTTTTGATGTTTCTCTTTTACAATATGAATTCTCTTGAAAGTGTAAAAGAAGAGATACAATGAAAGCACTATAAACAACACATACTTATCTATCAATTTGTCAAAAAATGCTTGGAAATATTGATCAAAGATGTTATGATAATGACAATATGAAATGTGGAGTGTTGTGTTTGAAAAACAGACCCAAAACCTCATATTTCTTCACGAGAAGTCACACCAGCTATTAGGAAAAGTTTTAATTGATTCAACTTAATTTATGCAATCGAGTCAAAACTAAATGAATGTCGTTGTAGTGTAGTGATAAGTATTCTCACATATCACGTGGTTGATCCGGCTTCGATCCCCGACAAAGGAGCCAATTTTTTATAAGGAGAATTTCCAGCGCGGTGTTTGACACCAAAAACTCTCGCTCAAAAATATGGTGATGAATGCAATGAAATGGAAATGCAAAATGAAAAACATAAAAGTATGGGTGAGTATAGTGGTGAAGGACAGATGTCGTATTTACGGGATTGGCGTGATTGGTTAGTATTCGAGTGAAATCTGCAACTAAATACTAATATCAAATCTTATAACGTGAATCAAGGCCAAATAGAAATCGGAGATTAACGATATGAAATACAAGTAAAAGGAACTAGACTAATGCAATGAACATTACTAAAAAGGAAATGCAAGTGATAAATGAAGAAAAAGCCTAGTTTAGAGAATTCATGTCAATCATGCAAATTTCCAATGAACTAGAGGAAGAATAGAAATCAACTAGAACGCGAGCAAAGCACCTCGATTCACACTCATGTGAGAATGGAGAAAGAATTCTCTAGCTCTTTTTATCCCCTAAGATTTTGTGCCCGCAGAGGCAGCTCAGCTGATCTTAGAGGTTGAATTTGAAACAAGAGACCAAAGATAGAGCCTCAACAATGGCAGTGTGGGAGCAACTTCTTAAAATATGAGGGGGCTTCTTGTGCACAGTGAGCACTGATCCCAGCCTTTGTTGCCCGTTGAGTCACCATGATTTATCTCATCGCACAATTCCGTCTGGCAGAAAGTGATGGGTGTCCGGGGTGAGCGATCTCACCTTTTGGAACAAGAGAAAGAATTCCAGAGAAAAGGGCCCACTTCATGGTATTGTCTCAAAAGAACTACAATCCAATCAAATAAGTATCCTCGATTTTCGTGATAGTGCTCAATCGGATCGATCCGATCCGATCCGAGAATTCGGATATCCGGGAATTTCGGATCATGTAAAACTCATTCCATATCCGATCTGAAAATATTCGATATCCAAAATTCGGATATCCGATTTTTCGGATCGGATCACTGGATTATCCGAAAAGTTGAGTTTTTAGCCAAAATTTACAAAAAAAAAACGTAAAATAGCAAAATCAACCCAAAATATCAAATTCAATATAGATTTACTAAAAGAAAAATTCCACCACTAAGTAATGACCTAATAAAAAAATGATACCAAATTTATTTTGGGAGTAACTTTGGTAATTTTGCCTAAACAAACAAAATAACATTATTAAAACAAAAGATTCTAAAATGCTAATACAAAAAGTCCAAAATGGTTGTGTTTCAAAATCAACATAAAATTACATTTAAACATATAGTCATAATATATATCCATAAAATTCCAAAAATATATAGCAAAAAAAAATCGGATATCCGGTTATCCGAAAAATTCTAGAAATTGAATCCATATCCGATCCAATTTTTTCGGGTATCCGATCCGAAATATCCGAAAGCTAAAATATCGGATTGGATATCCATTTTTCGGATCGGATCGGCCCGGATCGTGGACGGATATTTCGGATCGGATATTTTTGAACACCCCTAGTATTTTTGAGTGGAAGCACACTGCTAGAGGTCTAAATCCTTATTTCTTTGTGATTTAGAACTCATTTTGAAATATAAGTATGTCATCGTGACAAACAACAATATAAAAGTAATAAAGCACAATCTCCATAAACAACTTAGATCAAGACCTCACAATCCACAAAAAATCCAATGACCAGAAACACAAATTAGCAATCCATCACCAACCCAGGTTGAACAACTAGCCTAGAATGCTTGAATCTATGAATGCATAAAAAAGAAAGCAAGAGAGAAGAAATAAGATAAAATCTAAACTAAAAAGCAATAATACATGTAAAGAGTTAAACTTAAAGGTTGAAGCTCTCAAATTAAAACGAGATGATGAAGATGGAGGAGAACATAAACCCTATCTTAAGAATGAAAATAATGGAAATGGTAGAGATCCCTTGACGAAATGGATCTAGGGGGTATAAATAGAATAGGAGAAATTAAAGGAAAAATGACCAATAATGGCTAAATTCTGAAATTAGGTAAAGAATGGACAAGGGGTAAAATGGACATTTTACATCACCAAATTGGATCTGGAATTGCTTCTGTTCTTCTATGCGCATATGATGGGTCTGGTCTTCTCCGGTAATCAACCTGGTTTTTGATATGGAAGGAGGACGCTAGGCTGGGCTGCCGGAGTATTGGTCGCTACTGTTGCTTGTCGGAGATGGGCGTCTTGCTGGCTGGCGCTGGAAGCTCGCCGAAGAGGACGGAGGAGGAAGACGCCAGTGAGCTTGCCTGACGTCGTTAATTGGAGATGGTGCCTTCCGTCCGAGTCGGGTCGCAAGCTCATCCCACCAAAAAAAAAAAAAGAACACACAGACCTGGGAGGTTACGATTGGGATTAAAACTGACTTTTCAAATTTCTAAATTGACCTCATACTTTACAAATTACTTGCAATTCATTCCTTGCTTCATTTGGACCTCAAAACCAAACAATTACGGAGTACTATAAATCAGTCTAAATTTATCAATTTGATGAATTATGCACCATTACTTTTCTTTATTAAAATTCAATCTGATAAATCTACTACTCCCTCCGTCCCGGAGTATTCGTCCACTTTTGACTTTTGGAACTGTTCATCTAAGCACTTTGACTCGTCAAATTCTCTCAATGTGTAAGCTTAAATATAGTCATGTGTGATCTTGTTTGATTTGTCTTAACATATAGATTATTAATATATAATTTCTATAATTTTTTAATATACAAATTACAAGATAAAATGGATTAAAGAAGTGTATTGGATGGTGTGCAAAAATGAAAGTGGACAAATACTCTGGAACGGAGGTAGTATGAGATAATGAAATGGGCACAAATTTATCAATCAGCCAAAATATTCACAGTCAATGTTGTAAATGCAACAATAATTTTTTCAAGTGATCACTTTCCTTTTAGAGCATTCACAATGGCAAGACAATGTCTTGCCTTGCCATGCCATGTCAGCAAATTCCACTCAAATCATGGCATCCCATGTCCATTCCACCCCACTTTTCATTCCATGTGCAAGGCATGACTCTTTCATTTTTTATTTTTTTTTTAATATTTTTAAAATTTGTAATTTTTGAAAAAAAATATTTTTTAAAAGAAGTAAACATATTTTAATAATAAAATAATTTTTTAAAATAACTTTTTATAACTAAAAATCATTAAAAAGTGTAAAAATAGACAAAAACAACGACTTGTCACTGTATGTTACAACACTCCACTCATTTGCCACACGGTGACTGAATTACTTTTTATTGGTTGAAATCATCTATGTCACCGTGTGGCATTTCATTTTTGTCTTGCCATTGTCAATACTCTTAGAAGCCAAACTAGATGTTGGAATGACCATCGGTTACAACTTACAACAACATCGATGTTGCAAAGGCAACATCATTTTTTCTAATAGTCAACTAACCTTATTAAAAAATCTAACCGCTTGCAAGAAGTAACGGTCAGACCAATATCCATTTTCCTAAGTTAGCATTGATATTCTAAGCTCTACTAGAAAGTGTGGGAAAGAGAGCAAGGCCAAAGTATCAATTGTCATTAGACATTTGCTGGAAAATTGATGTGCAAATGTGGACGTCACTTTTCTCAAGGTCACTAGAAGGACAAGGGCAAGTCACAGAAAATCAATGTTCATATTATATTCCCTAGTTTTTGCTGAGCCTGGTGAAAGCTAATGCCAAAAATAGAAGAAAAAATAATAGTGAGTGTGAACCACAAAAAGTGTAACATGGGAAAAAAAATAAATATAGACAAATTGAAACAATTCATAAACTTTTAAAAAACATGAAATTCAAATATTTTTTAGTCCTAAACCTTTTATTTTTTTATAATATTTTCCAACTTTTCCAATTTCTTTCAACTTCTTTCAGTTTTTTCCAAACTCAAAATTTAAAACGTAATTATTTTAATAGAGATGAGAATATGCACATTATTCGAAAAGGGACGAATGGACGATTAATGGATGTTGACAGGATTAAATTTGAAAATTGTTCACTAATAAACAAATAAATTGAATAAAAAATAATCGTGGATTATTGTATTCTGTATATATTTAAAGTGCACAAATCAAACTTGGTTTTGCCGGAGCTCAAGCTTACTTGAAAGAATTCACTAATAACTCGATCTATTATTAGAATTATAATATTTGTTCCTACATACTTTCTCAATACTTTCTCAACTTATTGACGTATTAAGAATTATCGCATCTGTTAGAAATTGAACCCACGACCTCCCATTTGGAAGAATCATATTAACTACAATATATTTGGGTTTACCCATTTATTATTGGTGCTTTTCCTTTTTTATCCATGGTCTAAAGTTCTGTCTTTAATGTTATGTTTAAGCCCGTTAAATAATGCTAAATGTTTAGCCCAAGATGGCTATCCCCATCCATGTCCACCTCTACGGATACCTCATATCATACCATATCAGCACAATTATTATGAACATAAATGGGGCCATTATGCATGTGGAATAATTAATCAAGACTTTAAGAACGTGATCAACTTTAAGCTTTGCTGAATCACTTGGATTAAACGATGTAAATTACTCTTGGCCTTAATAATCATTTCATCCAATTAGCATGCCTTGGAAAAGCTTAATTACCAGTTTGCGTTGTTGTTTAAGCTTTGTTTTTATTTGAGAACAATACTTTTAATTAGCATTGACATTTTAAATAATTTTTTTGTATTATTCATTGTATTACGATGTAATATTAATTTATTATACTCCTTTTGTTTCGGAAAACTCTTCATGTTTTGATTTTTTTGTCAAATAGTGACACTCTTTGACTATAAATTTTTATTAGACCTTTACAATTACGAGGCAAAACCTCATATTTTTTAAAATTATTTTATTTAAAAATTGATATAAGAATAAAAAAAATTCAAATATTTAAAAAAATATATCAAAAGTTTTACAAAATAAGAGGTGACAAGAATATTTCAAATAATAAATCAAAACACACAAATAAACAAAAGTTATTGAGATAAGAGAAAATAAAATTGTAATTAATTGTGGGACGGATGGAGTAATATCTGTTTATATACACCCTCCGCCCCAATTTTTAATATTATAATGTATGTTTTCTCTCACATGTCGATAACTTTTATTTATTTGTGTGTTTGTATGGATTATTTGATAATAAAATAAAACTTTTTTGTCACATTTGTTTTGTTTTACTTTTAACATAGTTTTTTTTAATATTTCCTCTGTCCCACTTGAATCTTGCCGTACAATAATATTCATATGGTCGAACTTTATATACACTGTTTCTTTATTTTTGTTGTCAATTTGGTAAAATAATATAGTTATGTCATCTCTAGTTTTGTAAATTTTTTATTTTATCTAATTTTTTAAATATATAAATTTTATTTTTAAAATTTTCACCTACAATCAAATATATATTGCATTGAAAATAAAGTCAATCAAGAGTCATAACACGGACCGAGAAGATTCAAATGGGACAGAGAGCGTATTTTTATTGATATGCCACTTTGTAATGAATATGATTTCAAAATTTGTAAATTTTACATCGTAACTTGCAAGTTGGTGATAGGCACACTCCACCTCATGTGTGGCAAAAAAAAAACCCCTCCACTTATATATGCGGCGAACGACAAATTTAAGTGCGGTTAAAGACCACATCTCTTGTAGTGTTTTGTCAAAAATACACTTCCACTTCCCCAAGCAATTTCAAGGAATGAATTGCTCTCTATGTTTGAAAAAATATGGGAAAAAGATCAAAGTAAGAAACATTAAAATATACCAAAATAGGATTTTTATGTTTTTATTCTCGACATAGGACTTAAAATGCATTTACATTACCGATTAACATGATCATGTACATTACCAAAAAATTTAGTAATGGCACATGTAAAGTGTCACATTACCACAATGTGAAGTTCTATTTCGAAAAAAAAACATGAAAGTCTTATTTTGATATTTTTCTCTATGTTTTAGTCTTATTTTGAGTGATTTCTAAAAAAACATTCCCTAGTTTATCTTTTAGAAAATTTATTAATTTTTGTAATTTGACTTTTCAATTAAAGAGAAAATTAAAGATGGAAAATAGTTCCTTTATATATGAGGTGTATTCTAATGACATTATTTAGATGTACTAGTCATTTTATTCCAAAGATGAAATGTTTTGTTGAAAAACTAAAATATAAGAAGAGAATGAAAATGAGAAAATTCATTTGCAACAAATCTAAAGCTTTTTTCGGGAATATCATTTGTAGTTGATGTTACCATTTTAGATTTTTCATATATTATACTCTCTCCGTTCTTAAAAACATTTCTCTTTTATTTTTTTTCACTTCCAACAAGAACTTCCATTTCTATTAAAAAACTATTTTTACCCTTACTTTTTCATACCCTACCTATCACATCATACTTTTTCTCTAATAATCTATTTATCATATCTTACTTTTACCCATCACATCAATGGCAAAATTAAATTAGAAGTCAACTACCATACTTTGCCCTTTATGTGATGGGTAAAAGTAAGATGTGATGTGTTAACGGATATTTTATCACGCTGGGTACTTCTCCTGTTTCCTGGAAGACTAAGAAGCAAACCACTGTTGCCCGTTCTTCTGTCGAGGCCGAATATAGGGCCATGACAAACGCCTGTGTGGAAATTCGCTGGATGCTTGGTATTCTGAAAGCTCTTGATGTGCCGATTTTGTATCCTTCGATACTCTATTGTGATAATCAATCAGCCCTATACATTGCAGCGAATCCTGTCTTTCATGAACGTATGAAACATATTGATGTTGATTGTCATACGGTTCGTGAATCTGTTCAGCGTCATGAGTGTCCACACGCTACGTTCCTACTCGTTATCAGTTAGCGGATATTTTTACTAAACCCTTGTCTAAACCTATTTTTGATTTCTTACTTTCCAAGTTGGGCATTCATGACATTTATGCGCCAACTTGAGGGGGAGCGTTAGCGGATATTTATATATAGGTTTTTACTGTAGCATATATTGGGCTATGCCCATTTCTGTACTTGTATTTATATCAGTTCACGATTAATGAAACACATCGAGTTTTTCGCTAAAATTCTACATGATGAATAGATTATTAAATAAAAAGTATGATGTGATACGTAGGGTATGAAAAAGTAAGGATAAAAGTGAGTTTTTAATAGAAAGTGGAAGTGTTTTGTTGGAATTAGAAAAAATGAAAGAGAAAATATTTTTAAGAACAAAGGAGGTACAATTTAACACTTTCTTAATTTTACAATTGGTAAAAATAGGAACTCTTTTTTAGAACGGAGGGAGTAAATTACTTTTTTTGGAGAGGGTGTAAATTACCTTTAAAAACTTTAAAACGAAATACTACACCTAATTCTTAAAAGTGAAATTTGCACTAAATAGGACTAAAACATATGTTATTTTCTAATGTAGGACTTAAACTTTTTTATTTACTAAATAGTTCTTCATAATGTCTAGTGGAAGAAATAATATCCAGTGATGGTGGACATTTACTTGAATAATGACTAATGGATAATGATCAACGATCCTACATTGGAAAATGAAAACACTAAAATATATAGTCCTATATTGAGAAAGTAATTACGTTTTAGTTCTATTTAGGTAAACTCGTCTTTCTTAAAAATGATACTCTAAATGTTAACAAGTGAGAGGCTAAATAAATAAAGCAAGGCCACGCCGGGCAACGAAACCCTAGAGAGACAAAGCCTCTTCCCATTCCACAGCTCTTTTCAGAGACCGACAACCAGACAAGCTGCGCCGCCCATCGTCCCAGCAGCATGCAGCCGGAGAACACGCCGGAACCCTTTGACTGGTACGCAAATAACGCTGACTACTCGTTCCTCGACTGCCCCGGCGGGAACTACGTCGTCCCAGCATCAGCCGCCGCCGCAGCCGCAGGAATAAGTAGCGTTACTCACCACAAAGGCGACAGTTTTGCCGGAAGCAGCCTTGCGGCGGCTCTCTTCCCGGAACCGGGACCGCCGGACAGCACCCCGGAAGCGCGGGCTCTGGAGGCTTCGAAGAACCACAGGGAAGCGGAGAGAAGACGGAGGCAGAGAATCAACTCTCACCTGGATTCTCTCCGAGCCCTTCTTCCATGCAATTCTAGGGTACGTATATGATAAACTAATCATCAAAAACACCATATATATATATATATATATATATATATATATATATATATATATATATAAATGAAATTAATTCTAGAAATTCACTTATTAGTTGGGGGGGACTGAGTTGAGAGATGGATTTGAGTAGAAAGTAGGTTTCTTTTTAGGGGGGATGATAAAAAAAATGGATGAAATGATAAGCTGGTGTCGTGTCGTCACGCCTGTCATAAGTCATATCGATGCATCAAAAACCTTTTAAATTTCCGAAAGAAAAACCTTTTTTTTCTCTTTTAATTTCTTCATGTTTCTTCGATCGCCTCTTCAATTTCTCAGTCTCATTATTATTCATGAGATGTACGGATCGGAGTAATTATCCAGATATATTTCATGACTTTTTTTTTCATCCAAAAATAATTTAGCAAAATGTATAGAAACCTTGTTCGATAATGTATATTTGCTCCTAATTAAGTAAGTTTAGGGTGCCTCTAACATTATTCTAATTCCTCCCCAAGACTAAAAATAATCAGCCGGATTTGGTGGTAGCTCCTTCCTTCAAAGTTCATAGTCACTTCATACTGGCTTTTTCCATTTTTTCCATTTCTTTCATAATACTCAGTCCCAAAACTAAAGTCTTAAATGCTATTCATATATTTTATCTGTTCCTGAAAACTTTTTTCTTTTTTTTATTCATCTAAAAAAACTTTTTTCATTTTTGTTAAAAAGTCACTATTACCGTAGTGATTCTTAACCTACCTATCATATCACATATTTATTCTATTAATCTACCCATCAAATCCTATTTTTTACCAATCACATCCACGGATACTTTTGGAAACTCAACATCAAACACTCTTTTAAATACTTAAAAATCAAAATCTCTCATGTTTTAGGGGACGGAGGGAGTAGTTAATTTTTATGGTTGTGCTACTTTCACCCCTTAAAATACCCCATTTTATACCCTAAAGATTTGTCCTGACATAAAATATAAGTGCAACACTTTAGACCATTTCGTGTGTCAGGGCAAACCTCTGCAATACAAAATGGGATACAAAAGTTCGTAGGGGTACAAATAGATTTTTTCATTTTTACTTATGTTTATTAATTTTTATTAAAATAACATAATAATGACATCACTTATTTAATTTTGTAAGGAGATTTCATTTCTTCTTCGAAATAACTTTACACTTACACTATGGGACGAGAGTAATTTTTCATTTTAAAAAAATTAGATAGTTAATGTAGTGGTATTTTTAAGACCAACACCAACCTTTAGAATCCTACATAAACAAAGTTTGGGAGGAGTGTGTTTACGCATATCTTACCAGTACTAAAGCTAGAGAGACTATTTCCTAGAGACCTCCACCTTATGCAACACATAGCAGGACAAAAAAGATCAAAGAGCAAGCTGAGATATAAGTCAAAAATTATCCTATATCTCGAGATGTTTCTAACTAACGTCACATAATAGGTAAAAGTCTAAAGTTCTAAGTCTTGCCTAATCACCTTATCTAAATTCTTTCTAGATTTATATCTTCTCACAAACCACGCCACCTAATATAACCATTATCCCCTAAATATAAACATCATATTTTTATTCTTTAAATAGGAATATTGAATTGTGACATTGTCACGCTGTATATTAGCATTTAACAATATTTTTTTAATATTATATGTTAACATTATTAGTATTATAGCTCTTACTTTGAATATAAAAAATCTTGTAGTTTTTTATGTCACACTGACATTATTTTAGACAATTAATTAATCACGATTTCTTATTGAGTAAGAACAATTTACAACACCAAATGAAAACTACATTTCATTTTTAGTAGTACAATATGTATTACGATGGAGTGTTATTTAAAATTTTAAAGTGAATAAAACGCAGCAAAAGAATGAGAATGGAAATATTCAACAAGTCGAGCTGTGTTTGCACTTGGCAAAATATCCACAGTTCGGTCAAAGTGAGGAATGGTTCAGCTCAAATTGGGATCCACTTGTTTTCCCTTTCCCTTTTGCGGGATGAGATAATGCGTCAAATATTTGTGCGCGGAATTATTATAGCGTCACAGTTTTGGTGATTCATGTGCGTTGCCTTTTATCGCATTAGTCAAAAAGGTGTTTTTAATCAATAATAATACTTCTGCTTTTTACTACTCCGCTATATTAAAACGTTTTTTTAGACTAAATAAATTGGAGCACTCAATGGTGCATTTCCTCCCTCCATTAGCGCACCAAGTTACTCCCTCCTTCTTAAAACAATCTTTCAAGTTCAGTTTACGAAGTTTAACTGTAAATTATTTGCTTCTTAAATAATTCTAAGAGGTGAATAATAAAATCGTACATTTATTATTATATGAGGTGGATTTATCCAAATGTGGTGCGAATAGATTTAGCCCACCTTAATTTAATTAGGTCATAGTTAATTATATACTACTCATGTTTTTAAAAATCTTAACGGTTACCATCCACATTACATGTCAAACTTTATCATCTTTATTTATTTATTTTTTATTTATTTGATTAAAAATATAATTGATGCACTTTGATGACAATAGGGTTTATTGAGTAATGAGCTCTCAAATATATAGAGATTACATGATGTAGAGCACAATAAGGTAAGAATATTCTATTTTCTTTTGTCCCCCCACAAGCTCATCAAGTGTTACGAGGGGCAGCTTGGAGCACAAGCGAAAGCAATTTTGTAAAAATGTCAGCAAGCTGAACGGTAGATAGAACATGATGAGTAGTCATGGTGTTTGCTATGACTTCATCTCGCAAGAGGTGACAATTAGAGCCAACATGCCTCATTCAATCGCGCAGAACTGAATTCTTTGTGACACAGATAGTGTATTCATTGTCACAGCAAATGCACGGTTCGTAGAAGGAATACGAAGAGCATCTGTAATATGATAGAGTCACATAGCCTTCACCCCCGCGGCCATGGTGCAATACATTGCCTCAGTAGAAGACTGAGAAACACGAGTCTGTTTCTTCGTACACTAAGAGATGAGTTTTGACCCAAGCATAAGTAGGTAGCCAATAGTAGACTAACGATCATGTTTGTCATTGGCTGTCAGAATAAGAATAGACAAAAATATCAAGGGTCCCTCTTTGAGACAGAAGACCACAATTAAAAGTACCTTAACTAGCGGATGATGCATTTTAAGGCCATGATCTGTGGCGGTTGACCATCGAAGAAAAAATGGTGGTGGCGCACGGTCGTAAAATATGGGATGCTAGATTTTTGAGAAAAAGAACTTAGTTTCGATAACATAATAAAATTTGATAATAAATCTTATTGAATAATGAACACTTGAAAATGTATATAGAGACTATATGATGTAGAATCTTGAATAGGGTAGGATTATAACTGTAGTAACCCAAGAATAAAGAAACTAAATAACAATATGATTCCGTTTTCTATTAATAATCATGTCACTTCTAGTTTTGGTTCAAAGAATTTGGAAGAAAAAGAAAATGTTTTTTTTTCAATTTTCTAATCAAATGGGAGAAACTTTGTTTTTCTTCCTTTTAGAAAATTTTGGCTTAAAAAATCATTTTAAGTATGAGTAAAATATAGAGCGAGTACCAAAATAAAAGTTTCATGTATTTATCTCTAAAATATGTTTTTCTCCCTTTTAGAAAATTTTGGCTTAAAAAATCATTTTAAGTATGAGTAAAATATAGAGCAAGTACCAAAATAAAAGTTTCATGTATGTATCTCTAAAGTACGAGTTTGCATTGCGATAATGGGGCACTAGCTATATATGTACATTTAACAATATATTTTAGTATTATATATTGACTTGATTGACATTGTATTTGAATTGTAACTCCTATTTTGAGAATAAAAAATGAAACTCTTATAGTTTAGTTATTTTCACTTTTGACTTCTCATTTTTTCCTTCTACTTTTACTTTTCTTTTCCTCTCTAACAAAACAAGAAAATGGTTTCCCATCTCATTTTCTTTTATTTTTCCTTTCAATTTCTTTGTACCAAACATCGTGAAAGGGTCTTTTTTTCTTTTGTTTTTCACCCATTCTAAAAAATACTTTCTTTTGTAAGAAAAAATATGTGTGACTCAAAGAATTTCTCTTCTTATCAAATAATCCTAACTGCATCTTTTTCATTTTTTTAAATATTTTTCTTCAATGAAAGTCAAATACAGAAATCTATTACTCTCTCTGTCTAAAAAAAGAATGTTACAATTCAATGTTCAAAAATTATGAGAATTTTTGTTTATTTGTAAGTTTTCATCGATTATTTAATACTCCGTAATATAATACTTCGTACGTATATCCTTACCATTTTTTGTTTTGAAGAACTTCTGACGTAGTTTTAAATAAACAAATTTTATTTTTTATTTATATATCAAAATTTAAAATTCCACAGGCATTTTGAACAAAAAAGGTATGTTTTGGTGTGTTTTTTAATGTATGGTAACCAATGAATACATGAAACCAATAATGCAGACAGACAAGGCTTCTTTACTAGCAAAAGTTGTTTCCCGTCTGAGGGAGCTCAAAGAAGAGGCGTCTCATCAATTCACCCAAACCCCCCTCCTCCCCTCGGAGAGCGACGAGATTACACTCTCCTGCGACCCCGGCGGCGGCGGCGAAACCGGCGGAAGGCGGCTGATGATAAAGGCGTCCCTTTGCTGCGAAGACCGGCGGGACCTCATCCCCGACCTCATCCACACCCTCAAATCTCTCCGGCTAAGCCCCCTGAGGGCCGAGATGGTGACCCTCGGCGGCCGGGTCAGAAACGTTTTGGTTCTCGCCGGAGATTTGAAGGACCACAGCTGTGCCGATGAGTCCATGTTGTTTCTCCGAAATGCGTTAAGATCGGTTGTGGAATCTGCCGGTGGATGTGAAGCTGCCCCTAAAAGGCCAATAATGTTTAATGATACTCCCATGTAATAGTCCTTGTTTGTTTGTCTATATATGTTTAATGTTTCCCTCCATATACATATGTGAAATATACTACCCTAATTATTACACCATTATATTTACACCATCCATATAAACCTAATGGCCATATAGGGTATGAAAGTAAAGTTATTAAGTGATTGACGTAAGATGCAAACATATGATAAGTACGAAGGACAACATAATGGTGTATGAAAGATAAACTAATTATTGTAAAATACCAATTGGGTCACTTTTAATTTGATTGATTGGCGTGGGCTTGTTAGCTAGTGGGGTGTAGTTAATTATTTTGATTGAAATGGAACTTCATGTTTATTGAGCCCCGCCCATAGAATGATACCAGCTCGGTCTAAGTATACTTGCCCCGCCCCAATTTAAATTTGGGGCAAAGATGACCTCTAAGTCTTACGGTGAAATCAAACATTAGGTGGAAAACTTCCGTAGTCTTGTGAAATCAAGGCTTCGGTGGTAGGATAAGAGGCTTGTGAAATCAAGTTCTCGAGTTGTATTCGGATTGTCAAACTCCATTAGGTTTGACGGGTTAGTGAAGGGTCGGGCACGTTTGCTTCGGAGACTGGATGTAGGCATTTAGGCTGAACCACATTATATCGTGTGTTCATTGCTTTTATTCTTCACTTAATTTTTTTGTGGTGCGTTAGTTTTAATCGAGTATTTGTCAAGAACGCTTCCGGGCGAAAAACCCGTCATTTGGGCAACACTTCTATTCACCCCCCTCTAGAGGTGTGGAAGGTTTCTAACACAAAATATAGAGAAACTACCAAAACAGGAGTTCCATATTTGTAATCCCTAAATAGGAGTTCCCACTGTGGTAATGTGACACTATACATGGATATTTTACTACACTTTTTGGTAATGTATATGGTCATGATTGGTAACGTAAATGCATTTTACTACCTATTTCAAGAATAAAAATATGAAACTCCTATTTTAGTATATTTTTAATATTTTACTTTTACTTTAGTCTTTTGTACAAACACAAAAGAACGTTGGTGATGTTTTTGTTAATTAGCAGAAAATAAATTAATTGGGAGAAGTTTGTAGCTAGGTCAAACTTATGAACTTGTTTTAGTTCCTACCCTTTGTTTGTACCGAGAAATAGTTTTGTTTATATTCTTGCTTAATGATTGTATATCTGCTTTTTGAATTGACTCTTTGGAGGTGTGATTAACTAATGATAAAGAAGAACGCTATACAATACGGAGTACTCCGTAATTTACGAATGGAGTATAATTATTTAGGAATTGACTAGTTCTAACTTTCATTTACAACAAAGAAAGAGAGCCTCATGCCCTCATCCTCGAAGTTCTTCACTTAACCAAACGAATGATCAATTTAGATGAATTAAATTGAGCTTTAATAACAAATCGACTTGCAAATGGTAGTCACGAATTCATGGAGTACTAATTAATACTTCATCCGTCTCTGAGTATTTGTCCACTTTTAACTTTTTTCGGTCAAAATTGGTAAACTTTGACATCAAATTAAATAGAAATGATATTAGATATTGATACAAAAAGAGTTTTATTAGATTTATTATATCAAATATTTTCAGAATAGTATTTTATTCAATTAAAATAAACAGTTGACCGAAAAAAGTCAAAACTGGACAAATACTCAGGGACGGAGGTAGTACTTCTTTCGTATCACAAAACATTTCAACTATATTACTCGTTTGCTAAAATATTTCAATTTCTTCAAAATGGACTACAATACTCCTCTTTAATTCTACTTTCCCACATCACATTTCATATTATTTTTTACTTTTTAATTACTCTTTCACATTATTAATTACTATTCATGATTTGAAACATCTTTTTTTTCAAAAAAACCCTAAGGGTAAAATTAGAAAGTCAAATACAAAAAAAAACACTTCCCTCAAAGACCAAAAAATCAAAAATGTTTTCCGGGACGAAGACAGTACAGAAAGAGCTTTAATTGCACTTAATACTTGCAAAGGTACTCTGCTTAACATCGTTGTCAGAATCGACCTGGGTGTTCCTCTTGACAACAGTTGTCTTGCCAACTGTGCTATGCCCCCGCAAATATATAATCTAATAGCATTATATATATATACACACACACACACACACACACACACATATATATATATATATATATATGTTCAGGTGAGAAAACGATCTTATGAAAGAAATAAGAATTAATCTCGTGCTTTAGATTGTGAGATCTAATGGTCAGGATTGCATCAAAATTAGGTGCACCAAAATGATTTGAAAATGCATCATGTCGAAATGCACCAAAATCCTTTGAAAATGCACTATCTCAAAATCTAAGTGCAGGATGGAATCTGAGCCGTACGATGCATCAGATCCAAAGGCTAGATTTTGGTTCTGGTGAGAATGAAATCTTAGGAGAGAAATGAGAATGAATCTGGTGCTTTAGATTGTGAGATCTAAAGGTCAAGATTTCATCAAAATTAGATGCACCAAAATGGTTCGAAAATGCATCACGTCGAAATGCACCGTAAACCTTCGAAAATGCACTATCTCAAAATCTGAGCGCAGGATGCAATCTGAGCCGCACGATGCATCAGATCTGGCGGCTAGATTTTATTCTCATTTCTCTCCACAAGGTGCATTCTCACGGGAACCGGCCCCTATATATATATATATGTTAAGGTGAGAAAACGATCTTATGAAAGAAATAAGAATTAATCTGATGCTTTAGATTGTGAGATCTAATGGTCAGGATTGCATCAAAATTAGGTGCACCAAAATGATTTGAAAATGCATCATGTCGAAATGCACCAAAATCCTTTGAAAATGCACTATCTCAAAATCTAAGTGCAGGATGGAATCTGAGCCGTACGATGCATCAGATCCAAAGGCTAGATTTTATTCTTATTTCTTTCACCAAGGTGCATTCTCACCTGAGCCGCCCCTTATATATATAGAGGAATTTACGTAAATAGCACTAAAACATAATGACTTTCCCTAAATAGCACTACACGGTTTTTTTCTCAATGTAGCATTTTTAGTCATTATCCATTAGTCATTATTCAAGTAAATTTTCCATCACTGGTCATTATGGACATTATTAAGTGCTATTTAGGGAATAAAACAACTTAAGTGCTATTTAGAGAAATGACTTAAGTTTTAGTGCTATATAGTGCAAATATTTCATATATATATATATACATACATACATACATACACAAACACACACACACACGCTCAAACTTATAAACAACGTGGAAACAAATAGAAGGGATGTAGGGTCTGTTTATGAATAGCTTTAGAGATTAACGTTAGCTTTTTGAATAAAAATTTAACGGTTCAGATTACCTTGAAAACGTTAACGCTAAACGTTGTCCGTAGATAGCCTTTTCAAAATGCTAACGCTAATCGCTAAAGTTATTATCAAAGAGACCCGTAGTATGGATGTATCTTAGCTTCAACCTTACGGAAGAATAGCACTCGTAAAATGTCTTTGAAAAGGGGTTATTCTCTTGCGAAAATGCATGCATGTGAAGAGGATAAGTGGAATATATTCCAAATGGAATAAATTCGATCTCATAAAAGCCTCCATAATTTACACACCATTTATCTCTTTCCATTTAATTATCTCTTTTTGTGTTTGTGAACGATTCCTTACGGAAAAAAAGTACTCCCTTCACATTGATTTTTAAAAATAAAAGAAATAGCTTTTCCCAACAATTTCATTTGATTTTCTTGATTAAAGTTTTTTATCTAGGACCTCGATATGCGGATAAAATATATTGTATTTCTATATGAATGATATGTAATCATGAACATAGGAAATGTAGTTTTGAAATATTGAAATTTTATAAAATATATTTATGTATAAATGTCAATATTAACGGTCAAAGAATTACATTAGAGATCATGAAAAGTAAAATGAAAACATTAAATTCGGATGGAAGGAGTATTTGATATTGATACAAATATAGTTTTATTACATTTATTCTATAAAATATTTCAAAATATTGTTTTATCTAGTGGGAATACCATATAATTATTACTTAACTGTGTGTTAACTACTCCGTATGTGTTAGAAGTTGATTTTGGTTAACTGCAAAAAGCCAAAACATGACAACATTCTAAGGTGGATGTAGTACTTCTTCATACTATGAGGATATTAGTAATACTCACTCCGTCTCTGAAAACCTTTCTCATTTCTTTTTTTCATTCGTCCCAAAAAACTTTTCTCATTTTTCTATTAAAAGTCACTTTTATCCCAACTTCTTAACTTACCTATCACATCACATCTATTAACTATTAATCTATCTATCAAATCTTACACTTACCCATCACATTCGAGGACATTTTTAGAAATTCAACATCAAAATACACTCCATTAAACAACAACAACAACCCAGTTAAGAATCGAACACGGGTGAAGTATTAAACAGCCTCCTATTGTTTCCACTTCTAAAATACAATCCATTAAATATTTTTAAAAACAAAACCTCCCGTGTTTTTAGAGACAGAGGGAGTATAGATTTAAATCTTTTTCATATACCGTAAAGTAATACGGAGTACTATTATTTTTTTGACTACTCAAAAGAATTTATTTTTTCGAATTTAACAACCCACTTCCTTGTTTTGGGTCGTTTGTAATTATTTTTTAACTTGTTGGCTTTCAAAAAAATATGAGCAACAATGCATAATAGTATTATTGTCATCAATGCATGTCAAACTTATTTTAAATATTCACTCTCTCCATCCCAGTGTATTTGTCTAGTTTGACTTTTTCGAATTAAACTGTACAAATTTTGAGCTTTAATTAAATAAAAATTATAATGTATTTTAACATAAACATGACTTTATTAGATTTATCGTATTGAGAACTTTCAAAATTGTAAGTAGTACTACCTCCGTCCCGTGAAACATTTCCCCTTTCTTTTTTTATCCGTCCCACAAAACACTTCTCATTTCTATTAAAAAGTCACTTTTACCCCTTACTTTTTCATACCCTAACTATCACATCATACCTTTTTACTAATAATCTATCCATCAAATCATACTTTTACCCATCACATCAAATGACATTTTTGGAAATTCAATACCAAAATACACTCCCTTAAATCCCTTCTAAAAAGCAAATGTCCCATGTTTCACGGGACGGAGGTAGTATATCATTATGCTAATATGCAATATAAATTGAAAGTAATTGGAATTCAAGTTTGTCCAATTTGACTCAAAAAAATTAAACTGGACAAATACACTGGGACATACACGGACACAGATGTAGTATTTGTTCCGTGCAATCAATCATTTATGAGATACCTATTTTAGGACAACCAAATCAATTATTAATTGGGACATTAGAGCATTCTTGTACTTTTTCTACTTCCCTTCTTATATATATATATATATATATATATATATATATATATATTGTATCAGGTGAGAATTCAATCTTATGAAAGAAATAAGAATGAATCTGGTGCTTTAGATAGTGAGATCTAAGGGTTAGGATTGCATCAAAATTAGGTGCACCAAAATGGTTTTAAAATGCATCATGTCGAAATGCACCAAAATCCTTTAAAAATGCACTATCTCAAAATCTGAGTGCAGGATGCAATCTGAGCCGCACGATGCATCAGATCCAAAGGCTAGATTTTATTCTTATTTCTTTCACCAAGGTGCATTCTCACCTGAACCGCCCCCTATATATATATATATATATATGTGAAATATATATTTTCCAAATATTAATATTCTATCAAATTTGATATCATCGTAGAGTAACCCTTCTCACAATACATCAACTAAGGTCCCGTTTGGCATCAGTATTAGAGATTAGCGTTAACGTTTTGAAAAGGCTATCCGACGGTAGCCTTTAGCGTTTTTAGAATTAATCTAGAGCATTAAAATTTTATTCAAAACGCTAACGCTAACCGAAAACGTTGTTCCCAAACAAGGCCTAAAAAGACAAGACCAAATTGCCCTATAAAAATACCATACTCGATCGCATTCATAGAATTTTTTTCATTTGGTGATTTTTTTTTTTTTGCATTTGGTCAATATTTAAGACAAATATCATAATTAAAGAAAAAAGTAGAAAGAACAAGTCACCAATAGATAGACAAATTTGTACTACATTTGAATAAACTAGAGACATTTATAGTCCATTTCCCATTGGAGAAATTAAAGCAAAAATCTTGATAAGCAAAAAAAAAAAAAAAAAAAAAAGAATAGAAGGGAGGTGTCTTGGCTCCAACCTCCATGAAGAAGCATCTTAACTCCATCACCTTTTCTTGGCGACAGTTCCATTCTAATGCTCTACTTTCTTCTTCTTCTTCTTTTTCTTTTTATGCTACCTACTTTCTTATTTATTAGCAGCTTACCTTTTCCTGATTTTTTGTTGCTTTAATCTATCACTGGCCTGGATTCTATCCTCTCCCATTCCATTCCGCTTTTCCAACTAACTCAAATCAAATTTTCTGGTTCTTGAATCTTGACAGACACGCCTTCTGCCTTTTCTTCTTCATATACCCATTTTTCTTCTTTGCTTCTGATCAAAGTTCCAATCTTTCTTCACTTTACATGCTCAAGAATCCTGCTTTAGTTTGTTTCTTCACTCCCTAATCGTTGGGAAGTTGTAATTTGTGGCCCTTCTGATCCAATGGGTGTCTGCCATGGGAAACCATTTGAACCTCCACACAGATTCTGTGAAGACTCAACAATTCCCAGGGAGAAAGATAATGCATTGAGTGGTACTCATTCTGGGAAAACGCCTAAGTTCCCATTTTACACTCCCAGCCCACTGTCCAGTGCATTCAAGAATTCACCTTCCAACTCTACCCCTCTGCGATTCCTCAAGAGGCCCTTCCCTCCACCCTCACCAGCAAAGCATATAAGGGCATTGCTTGCTAGGAGGCACGGTTCGGTGAAGCCCAATGGGGCCACTATCCTGGAAGGGAGTGAGTTTGACATTGGATTGGACAAGAGTTTCGGGTTTTCCAAGAATTTCGCGAGCCACTTTGAGCTTGGAGAAGAAGTTGGAAAGGGGCATTTTGGGTATACTTGTTCTGCAAGGGGAAAGAGAGGGAGCTTGAAGGGTATGGACGTTGCAGTTAAAGTCATTCCGAAAGCAAAGGTTAAGTCTTTTTAAGCTTTTCGATGTTTTCTTACATTTGTTCATCTGGACATCTGGATTTTACTCTTAATTAATGGGGAATGGTTTTTTTTCTTGCAGATGACTACAGCTATAGCTATTGAAGATGTACGGAGAGAAGTGAGAATACTGCGTGCTTTAACGGGGCATAGAAATCTAGTACATTTCTATGATGCATATGAAGATGAGGACAACGTTTATGTTGTAATGGAGTAAGTTCAATATTTTTTATTCTTAACTATATACGTTTCGATCCTACTTGATGTTAACTTGTTTCTTTAGTGAGTTATTTGGACATTTCCTATTTTCCTTGCTTCTCTTATTGCTAGAATAATACTCCATCCCTCTTGATCTAACTATCTACTTTCTATTTTGAAGTGTCTAATTGATGGTTCACTTACCACATTATTAAATATTATTGGAAATTATCAAAAATACCCTCTAAAGAGAATATGGTCTTGTTTCCATCAAAGGAAGACAAGCTAATCTCAAGGATTTGTTTCCCCATTTCACCCCGTCCCTTAAAAATTGAGGCGTCTCAAGTGGATAGCTTATTCTGGACATGTGTTAATCAAATCATTCCATATCGGTTTGTCGTGGTTTGACTCAAGTGTCTTATAATCTAGTTGAGCAACCTCTACCCTAACCTACGTTCTAACGGAGGGAGTACTTACAGCTTTACTTGTCCCCCAACAAAAAAGGGTATAGAAGGATGTGATCATTTCAAGAACTTGTCTTTCAATTTCTGTCAAAATCTTTGCTCTACTAGCTAAGTGTTAATAGTTACTTAATATCATTTTTTCACCAACAGATTATGTAAAGGGGGAGAGTTACTGGAAAGGATTCTTTCTAGGTGCATATCTTTTTTTCCCTCATTAGTCCACTCTACTGCACCTAGTGAACATACTAACATCATTTTTCTTTCCGGGGGGGATGAAGGGGTGGAAAATATACAGAAGAAGAAGCAAAAGCTGTTATGGTACAGATTTTACGCATTGTATCGTACTGTCATCTTCAGGGAGTGGTTCACCGTGATCTAAAGCCTGAGGTATGAATATCCCCATCTTTCTACCCTTAACATTTGGTATGTTTAGACACGTTTTGTCGCAATAATAGTGTACTATGCTTGTTATAGGAGATTAAGCAGTTATAACTGCCTTTTCACTTGCTTAATTGGCTGAAACAGATGATATCAAATGCCTTTCCTTTCAAAAATTTCAGTAGATCCAATCCCATTTCATCCAAATAATCCTTTCACAATGGGTACTACACTTGTTTCGGGACTAACAGTTGCTTGATAAATTATACTTCAGAACTTTCTGTTTACATCAAACGATGAGCATTCTCCTCTGAAGGCCATTGACTTTGGACTTTCTGATTATGTAAAACCAGGTAAAGCTTGCCTGAAAGTTATGTGGATATATATACTACTCCGTATATATCTATTTATATAAAAGAGACCCTTAACCATGGAAAATCTTTGCAGATGAGAAGCTAAATGACATTGTTGGGAGTGCATATTATGTAGCACCTGAAGTTTTACATAGATCATATGGAACAGAAGCTGACATGTGGAGTGTAGGCGTTATTGCTTATATTATTTTAAGTGGAAGCAGACCATTCTGGGCACGGACTGAATCTGGAATCTTTCGGGCCATTCTCAAGATCGATCCAAGCTTTGATGAAGCCGCATGGACGACTTCGTCCTCTGATTCAATAGACTTTGTAAAGAGCTTGCTGAACAAGGACTACCGCAAGAGGCTAACAGCAGCTCAGGCTCTATGTAAGCTACTTAAACAATAATCAAATTAGAAGAACTTACACTTAACTCTTGAAGTATGGAAATCTGTGCCCTTAATCCCTACGAACACGCGACAATTCGTAGACTCAACCCCTTAACCTTAGCATTCTCAAAATTACCCTTGAGCTATGTGCTTACTATCGGATTTACCTTTTAGTTCTGAACTTTGTTATGTCATTTATGTGTTCAAGGTCATCCATGGTTGGCTGGTCATCATGACGTGAAGATACCTCTGGACATGGCAATATACAAGCTTGTAAAAGTTTACATACATTCCTCATCTCTAAGAAAAGCTGCATTGGGAGTATGTATTTGTTTCGGCTTCTCAAGCTCTTATATTTTACTGTGATTTTATGATTTTGATATTGCTTATTAAATCTTCTTCTGTAACAGGCTCTGGTCAAGACATTGACGATACCACAACTGGCTTACCTCAAAGAACAATTTACATTATTAGGGCCAGGCAAAAATGGGTGTATATCGCTACAAAACTTCAAAACGGTAACATCTCTGCATCTCTTCTGTTTCTTACTGCATTCCATGAGCTCTTAGTATAACACTAATATGTGAGAAACACAATTTTTCAGGCCTTGGCCGTTTACTCAACCGATGCAATGATGGATTCTAGGGTCTTCGAATTCGTTAACACGGTCAGACTTTCTGTTTTTCTTCTTCGTTCCTTGGGTGAAATCTCCTAGGGACTAGGACTAAGACCAATGTGTGTTCTTTATGCTGCTCAGGTGAGTTGTCTCCAATACAGGAAGATGGATTTTGAAGAGTTCTGTGCAGCAGCAATAAGCGTCCACCAGCTAGAAGGAATTCAAAGTTGGGAACAACATGCTCGACGTGGCTATGAGTTTTTTGAAAAAGATGGAAACAGGCCTATTGTAATCAATGAACTTGCCTCGGTAATCTCTTGGAAACTCTTCTTAGAGCTGAGTTAGGCGCAATACGTGTTTTTAACAACATTTGCCACAACATATTCAACAACTTACACATATATTGATGAAAACGGAACACAACATATATGATTTGTTCATCCTCTAGGCCTCATGATGGCTGACATGTTTGTGTATGTGTGTGTACATATAAATATATACTTGTAGGAGCTTGGAGTCGGTCCTTCGGTCCCAGTTCATGTAGTTCTGCAGGACTGGATAAGACATTCTGATGGAAAGCTCAGCTTCTTGGGCTTTGTCAAGCTGCTCCGCGGTGTTTCCCCGCGCCCCCTCCAGAAATCTTGATTATCCATTGCCGTGATCTGCAGCATGTATCTTTGGGTTTCTCAGAGATTTTAGTTTCTTTCATTTTACCTCTGCTACCATCAGAAATAGTCTCAGGATTGTACAGTGGACAGTAGCAGATAGAGGTCTATGAAAAAAGAAGCTAAGCACTAGGAAAAAAATGGGTCCTTGGAATGTTATTCCTTCTTGTGCACTGAATAATGGAATAAAGAATTTTCAAGTTGTTAATCCAAAGTGCAACTTGGCCAAAAGGACTTCCATGTTGAGATCTCCTCTTCCTTGTAAAGCTTTCTTATTCCACCATAGAAACCATCTACTTCATTCCCTACTTCTTGATGATTCTTCTTGTTAATTGTTATCTGTCTCCATCTTGAGCCAGGTGAATACTGCCTGAACTCTAATATCACCACATCTGTCAACAAATATGGTGGGATGTGACCTCATTAGAATTACAAGAAACTGTTATATTTTCAATATTAACTGTTATATTTTCAATATTCAGGGTCAGTTTGGAACTCATAAAATGATAGGGAAAGGAAATATGAAGAAACAGATGGGAAAATTAGAAGGAAAGAAAATGTGGGGAGAAATAAAAGATAAGCTAAAACATATGGACTGATAAGTTTACTTCAGATATTTGTACTATTTGTTTGTTTCTATTATTTAGATTTTTAGAAAATATTAAATCTAAAAATATTTTTTAAAGTATAAAAATTAATCATAGCATTTTCCAAGGTAAAATCCAAGCATAAGAACATGATTTTCCTCTTTCTTTCTTTCTTTTCTTTTTTTGTTTTTGTTTTTTTGCTTTCACAATCATTTTCCTGGATCCAAGGATATCATTAAAGGTATTGTCCTCACCACTTGTATGACATTGGCAATTCAGTTTGTTGCCACTGCATGATTCCAAATGACCAACAACTCCATACCACCAACCTGCAAATCATGAAACTTCCAGCTTTAGCATCTGTTCTTTAGAAAAAAGCTATGGGCAAAGAAAGGCTCAGTAAAATGCTTAGGAAATGTCAAAATTGTCCTTCAAGAGAGTAAGTGAGCATATTAATCCAAGACCATGACAATGACTAGAACATGGTTTGTTTGAACTGCAATATGGAATTTATGATGAAGAGAATTGGCTATTTTTGAATGGTTAACATACCATATGGAAATTCTTTGCTTTTTCTCCACTGTATCTCAATGTGATCATCTGGTTTTAGATCATTTAAGCAATCAGAGGCATGAAGAACATAAGCAGGAGTATCAACAGGTGGTGCCCTTATCCTCACCCTCTTTATGCTTTCCTCTATGGACCTCCACCCTTTAGTCAGATACCTGTCATTTTTGAACAAGCAAGATAATAATATAATACTAGTAAATAACAACAGCAATTTAGGAAAAAACAGGGCTGTGTTATTGATATTGAATTGGGACAGACCAAATGGAAGTAGGGGACAAAAGATAGTGAGAGGGGGAGTGATAAAAGATTTGAACAGCATAGGTGTGAGATGAGATTCCATTGTACCTTGCCCTGAAGAGATCTGCATTAGAGTCATAGTTGATTTCAGCATCATAACATGATAGGGCAAACCCAAGTTGCCCACTCTGCAAATTATAAAAAAAAAATACAAAAAATTAATCAATGAACTCTGAACAGTCTACAAAACAGTTTTTTTACATGTTGCAAACCAATTTAATAAAGCACTAGGCAATTACCTCGCGGTTAAAAACCTGAGCTGGGAACCAAAATTTGCCACTTTCAAGTGAGAAATACAAAGCCATGACTGAGTCCTTAGGTAAAGAGCTCTTGGATCTGTTTCCTTCTTCTGCTGCTTCTCTATTCAACAGGAAATTTGTAAGACTAGCAAAATACCCAAAGAGATCCTTCTGATCTTTGGGACTCAGCAGGAGAGACCTCTTTCTTGATGCAATGTAGCTTTTCCATTCATTGTAGGCAGCATTCCCAATCAACTTACCCCATCTCTCACAGATGTGCTTTTCCCACAAATGGTCACTCACACATTTCTCTCTCAGTGAATTGCAGACCTTACCCATACTGCAAAGGTCTGATGGTGAGAGCCTCTCAAGAATGCAGTCCAGAGCCAAGTCTGGCAGATCCAGGAAAGTGGTCTCCTCTCTCCAATCCACATTCTCTAATGGTCTCAATTTCTTCACAGAAGGCCTCTCCATTTTCATTCTTTGGGAACTCAAGAGACTGCCCAAAAAGTTCTTATCTTTTCTGAACCAATTCACCAAGAATCTTGAGAATTCATCCCAGAACAAGGGAAGTGACCTAATTCCCATGTTAGCCTTTCTTCAATTCCTAGTTGGGTTTTGGGTAAAGAAGAGAAGGGATATCAAGGAAGCAAGAAAAACATATTCTTTTATATTGTAGGAATTGATTGAATGTTAATGTTAAGTTGAAAGAGAAAGAGAGAGAGAGAGAGAGAGAGAGAGTAGGGAGTAGGGACAGTTGTGGACAGCTGAACCAACAAAGATAGCATTGGTAGTTGGGAGTTAGTCCTACTTCAATTGACTGGGTGAACCAGCCATGGAAGGCAAAGAGGTATGGTTGAATCTTAAATGTGTTAGCACAATGAGTTGCCAGCAACACAGTTTTAGAGGTGGTGGGGTCAAGACAAACTATGTGTTGGCAAAGGTTTGAATGGATAAAGATGAACAAGGGAGGGGGGTTGGGTGTGTAATGCCCATGTGGAGTTTGGAGGGTCCTTTATTTTGGTTAAAAAAATGGAATACAAAGTGAATTATAAGTAGATTTATATAATGGACCATATTAAGTATAACTCACAATTTTGTACTACGGGTAGTATTTTGATGGTTTACGGTGGTACAGAATATCAGTGCAAAATTCTACGATCGTATTAATAATATTGTAGTTGTAATAGTCATTCTGAATCTCATCCAATGATTTGTCTGGTCTCAAGTGGGATGCTGCTGCCTTTCATTTGATTCATATCTACCCGACGAAAACGTGAGAGGGTATAAATCATGATGACTCAATCAGTAACAAAAATTGGGAAAAGATTAGAGGGAGAGACTATTTTCTTTTCTTTTATGGACCATGCTACACTTACACCAAAAAATATATCCCGTTTATACACCACAGTTATGCACAAACATTTTGATGGTTTACACCGACACAAGTGTTGGTGCGTTAACAAAAATTTACACGGACACAAAGTGTTGGTGCGTTAATAAAATTTGGTTTTACACCAACACAAAATGTTGGTGCAAACCCGCAGGGTACAAATTAAGGTATAAATGTTGGGGTAAACATATTTTATAGGTCGGGATGGTGAAAGTGTAGGTTGCCTGACATTTATGAAATCCGACAAAAGGGCGGCCGGCAAAGAAAGGGACAGGCCATGTGAATCATGGAATAATGGGATCAAATACGATGGAACACCGAGGGATTGCCTGTCTCTTCTTTAGCGCGCATCATTAGCCTGTCTTCCATTATTCTTTCTCACGTTCCCATGTTCCTTCTCTCTCTCTATATCCATCCCATATGCATCAATTTCTACCTTGCTTCTCTTTCCCCTTTTGTCCTCTTCTTTCTTGTAAGTACTTTTATCTTCATTATTAAGGACCTTAACCCTTTGTTTTGGGCGACTTTGGACGGAGGAAAAGTGAAAATAAAGAAAGTAGTGAGAAAATGAAGAGAGAAAATTAATATTTGAATTGATAGAAAACGATAAAAAAATCCGAGGATAAAAAAGAAAGAAAAAGCAGAAGAAATGAATGATACCCCGTTCTCACCAAAGAAGGTAAGGAAAGGTTTTATGTGGGGTTTATGGTCATATTTTGTTTTCATATTGTTCTCTTTGCAAATGAAATCATAGAAAGTTCCTTGAAAAGTGTGTTTTCTGATCTATAGTTTTATTTTTTTCTCTTACCATCTAATCAGAGCTTAGAGTTTTGAAGTGTCATTTAAGAATTATCTTAGTTCAAGTGATATGTAATTTCAATGTCATAGTATGATTCGGGGCACCTAAAGTTTTGGAGAGTGCAATTGAATGGAGTGTGAGTTGGTTCGGATCAGGCCAAGATAGGTAGTTTACCGAGAGTTAGAAGAAGTAGTGACCATCATTTTTTTAAACAGAGCACGTAGCTACTCCCATCAAGACTCATGTCATATGATGATATGAGAGACTAATGTCACTCAAACATCCCTTTAAGAATGAGTGTAGATATAAACACTCTCATACCGTGATTTTTTATTCAATAAATAAAATTAAAATTGGAAGGGACCGATCTGGAGTTGTTGTAGGAGCCTTTGGACATGAAAAAGGTCCAAACACAAATAATCATTTGATAATTTCAAATATACTCAGTTGGTAGAGCCAGCGGAGAACAACTTACAATTGTGAATTTTCAACATCAAATCTATCAATTTTAAATCCAAATTGTTTAATAGTGAACTTATTCCAAATTCAAGCAAACCATTTATAGATAATAACACAAAAAATTATTTTCAAATTACTGTTAAGCATTTTATATGCACACAAATACTCTTAATCCCTTCATTTGTACTAAGAATCATTTACACAAATAAAATGCATGGGTATACATTTCAAGCTTGTTTTCTTTCAAATAATATGTCATCAAGATATAATCAGAAAAGTTAGCAGTAGGGGAAAAAAAGAAGAAAAACTTATGCATGTTTTCTATTTTAAAAAAAACAATGCAGGGACTCAGCAAAAAATAAAAATAAAAATAATGATATACAGTGCATCATATCATTCAGATCCTTGCTACTGAAGTTCATCCACTTTGACCTCATATTGCTCACCAGAAGAAAGAATCTTAACACACACCATCCCTCTTTGCCACTCATCACTCCCAACTAAGATCAGCCTGCCCACATTCATCCGGGCAGCCCTTTTGAACACCCTATCAACGCAGGTTTATATCAGAAATTGCAAATTCATGTCGCTACCAATCAAGAAAGTGGATGGCCTAAAGACAGCATTATTAAATAGGTATCTAAGTTTTCAAAATAAATTGCATCAGAAGTTCGTACCATTTAAGCGGTTTGTTTTCCAAAACCAGATCCACGGTCTGCCCTTTCTCCCGAAGTATGGTTGCAACAGAAGAAGCGGTGCCTTGGAGATTGGGGTCTAGAGAGCAGACGATGTCGTCTACTTGCATACTCAATTCTGGCACAAGCCCCTTCTCCTTAAGAAGCTGAACATTGAACAGGTGTTTTAGAAACTGCTGTGAAGTTTCAAATGATTCTACTTTGGAAGATGAGATTGAAATGAACAAAGTATTAGGGAAGGTTTTTTCAGGTGGCATTACTAAATGGACACTTCAATTCAATTATCACATCACTAGCTTTCAAGCTCGTGAGTATAGCTATTGTGCATGACTTGAAGCTAAATTTCCTAGTTTTGTATAATTAAAAATGTTGAAAAAATCAGTAAAAGAAAAACTATTCGGTACAACAACAACAACCCACTAGAATCCCGCGTTAAACAAGGAATATGAGTAAAATGTAGTCTGCTAGTCCCGAATAAAAAGATTCATGTTTCATGAATGTACAAATTTTAATTTTAGTAAGATACATATAATTAGTAATTACTGAATTCGCAATGAGTTTGTTATTGATACTCAGAGGTTTACTGAATTCACATATACTTACATAATACAAGAATAACAAGCGGCTATATAAACAAGAAAAGGGTACTAATATAAGGAAACTAAATCACTTATACTAATGCCTAAATCAAAGCCTACCGTAATCTCAAGACTTGACTAATATACGAAGTATAAATACTAATAACAGTTGTATGATGAACAATTTTAGGGAGAATGAAGTGGCAATATCAACTCCTCTGACAAACAAACAACAACAACCTAGTAGAGTTCCACAAAATCAGGGTCCGGGAGGGTGTTTACCCCTTTACTAAAAGTAGAGAGGCTGTTAATATCAACTCCTCTAAATGTAACATAAATTTATTTGACACTTTTTTATAATACACATAAAATCTAATGATAAATACTCTGTAGCTTCTTTTGTTCAAATAGGACTTTTTTAGGATAAAAATCAGTTTCCAAATAGGACTCTTTTTTGGGACGAATGGAGTATCTATTTAATGACACGACACCCATAGATAGCATGATCTATGCTCTCAAAAACTTACTTCTTTACACACATATTCTGAGAGGGGAGAAGCTATCAAGCTAGTCAAAATTAATGGAGCACTGAGAGAAGGCTGGAGAAGTTATAGGTATTTTGAATTTGCAGATGAAAATTAAGGGGTGGGGAGGTAAAGACAGGCTCAAGTCTCAACTCACCTCAACTATGACTGCATCACCGAATCCAAAGCCACAAGCTGGAATATCATCTCCTCCAAAAGTAGAGAGCAAGCTATCATATCGCCCACCACCACATATAGCTCGCAATTTCCCGGCTCTATCAAATCCCTACAAGATCCATGTAATCACTTCATATGCATAATCATACACATAGAGAGACATAAAACTTCCATTTTTACTATTTGTCTTTGACACTCAAGCTTTTCAAGCGTGTGATGATATGAAAACTAAGATTCACTACAAGTGCATGGAGAGCTACTACTAAAGCTTTACAGATGCCAGATGCATAAATAAAGCCTCTTGCTAACCTCTCTGTTTCAAAGAATCCAATTTCAAGCTATTAATTACTAGAAATATCTCTCGGGCTTAAAGATGTGTTCACTTAGATGCAATTTCTTATAAAGTCCAACCTCAAACACGATGCCGGTATAATAGGCTAGTCCGCGCACAATTGATGCATCAAACTGAATCCACTCAGAATAGCCATACTTCTCAGCCAATGAAAATAGTTGCTTCAAATCAGCAAGTGCTTCTGTAGCCGTCCCAAGCTTCTCTGCAAAAGCATAAATGTCATAAAGATGAAGGTAACAACACACTTTCAAATATCACATAAAGATATATACATATCCCCCGAACCCACTCATCTGATTCCGAATTGATGCATCAAACTGAATCTGCTCAATTTTATTCCAACAGCTTCTAAAACACCTCCCGAAGCAAGGGCTACAAGTCTATGGCAGAAGTCTTTACTTTATAGATCCAGATACAAACAGTGTTTATGGTTTCATAAGCCGGCTCAAGGGTCCAAAATACTTCCCCCCCCCGTGGCAATACAAAAGACTTGTTAGTGCACGCTCATGAGCACAAACTGAGGGCTGACACCAATAAAATTTCCATTCATTTGATAAATTTAAGACAAAATCTTAATAAAAATAAAGGAAAAATATTTTAGAGCAAAACTTTAATGAAATGTTGGAAAGGCGTGTCATTCTAACCTTCCAATTTTTCCAATGACTTCACAGAGAGGACTTGCAATATCTCTTCAATTGCCACATCCGACAGCTCAGCGGATTTAAGTTCTTTCTTAATGTCATCGATAGGCATCTTTTCCAACTGCAAAGTAAAGTTAAGAGCGATCAAAAGAAACAGAAAAACTTGGTGCAAAACTAAAAGAAGCAATGCAGTTTCCACAATCATACCCTCAGCTGTTTAGAGGACCTATAAGAACATTGATCACTAACTCATTTGTAATAAAATAACAGTTTAGAGCCAAGGAAAATAGTAATGTTACAGAAGAGTTTCTGCTTGAATTATTGCTATTTCTTGCTACAGTCCCATCACAAACAAAATATCCTTCTGCTTACAGTGGTCCAGCCTGACTCATCAAGCATAACCCTCAACTTCTAATGCAAAAGTGTGAATTTTTCTTGAGAATTAGATCATGATATTTCAATGTCTGGGTCAAGTGAGACACAATCTCTCCGTGTGACAGTGGTAAACAACATTTAGATTTTAGAGTGTGGAAGACATCACATCACAGGAGAATAGAACGTATTTTGCAAGCAATAAGAAAAAATGAAATTGTTGTTCACATGTTGCTACATGACAAGTTATTGAGGGCGAAATCAAGCAGCAAAAAATATGATAAAAGATGATCAAATGGTAGATAAAGCAACTTCAGAATAATACATGCCACGGAATAAGGCTGACCTTGTCAATAATTATGCACACCCTACTGAACATAGTTTCAGGAACAGAGTAGCAATGCAGTACTTCTTGCAAAACCTGTGAAGTCATAATCAGTCAAACATAAATGAAACATGCCATACTTCTCCAAAACTGTTTATTTAGATTCAAGAAGTATGTATCCTTATGCTCTGCAAGCAAACACATTACACATGCTTGCAAAGCTTAACAAAGAAAAAAGATCAACGAAAAAAAAGATGCAATATGCATCATCTCTAAGAAAACAATCATGTTCTAGATTTTTTTATCTTACAAATATTATAAGAGCGGACCTTTGTGGCGGTGTAATAGGTTGTGTCAGTAGCTTGGGCTTTATCTCTAGGGTTGAAAATGAGCATGACGTTTAGCAAACCGCCTGTGTTTGGGCCAGCTTAGCGTGTGTTCATATTTGTTTGGTTAATTAAATGAGGATAAATGAGAAGCTCATTTGAAACCGCAGGCCAATTTGATTTGTATCTTGCCAACGAGAAATAGAAAGGAGTGATTGAATTAATAGAGGTCGAGTGGCCTAACTATTGCAAGTGTGCCTAGCGATCCAACATAGAATCTCGAGTTTGACTACCATGGTGCACACCCCTTAGGCTGAAACAACTACAAGTTAGTAAAGAGGTAAGTTAACTACTACAATCTGGAGTGGGTCATGAGATGTTAGGGCTTCTATCTCTATCCTCTAGAGTGGTTAAAGAAGCCTCTTCCTCCCTTGATGGGAGAAAATAATAAGGATGGATGCCAGTGCCATACAGGCGTGTAAGGTGTTAAAGATACATTTCACCTTTTGACCGCCCGCCTCTTGCCTCAAAAAAGGTCATATCGCCTTTAATAATTATGCCGTTGTTAAAGCAGTGATGGTCGTTGTTGAAGAAGTGCGGAAAAGTTAGACTTGTGTGTTGATGGCGGTACGGGTTTGGTGCGAGGTGAGTTGGAAGAGAGGGATTTACAACAGCATCTGGATTTGTAAAGTATTGTTCGAGCAAGGTTATACAAGCTATTATTCCGTATACAGTATTTTAAAAATAATAATAATGTTTCTTGTTTTTAGCAGCACATAGCTGCTACTTTGGAAAGAAAGCTAGGTGATGCTACCTATGACTAGGCCCTGTGTTTTAGTTCATAAGCTGCAATTATTACATGCACACACACACGTATGGCATGTGTGTGCTGTTTTCCGCTGGGGAGAGGAGAAAGGGTACTTACCTTCCGACTAGAGACCTTAAATCCAACGTCCGAAGCTGTGATGCCAATGCGTTTGAAAAAGGTTATGATTGAGGATATAAGCTCAGCTTCAGCCTGTATAAAAACACAAGAGAAACCATATTCAAGGTGTACCATAAAGCTAGAAACAGTGTTGCCCAATGCACTAGCACCCAACAAGCACTAGAGTGACCCACCTAAAAGTACTTAATAAAATGCCTAGCAGTGATTTGATCTAGGGAGGCCTATCGTCCAAGTACACAATGGGCTAAAGAGTACTTAAAAGTCT